TTGTCCACGATGGACTCCCCCTGCGTCCGCACGCAGGTGGAGGTCCGGCCCTCATTAACTAAGACCAGACCATGCGTCGCCGCCCAATGAGCCAAGGCCTTGCCCCTCACGTTGTCCTGCCGGGAACCCCAACTCGTGTGCCACGAGTGAAGTCCCCGGCAACGAGGACCCGCTTGGGGCTCAGACTCAGGACTGTTTGTCCTATGTCCTCCAGCCAGCCCTCGAACGGGGCAAAGCTCTTGGTGGGCCTTAAGTATACCCCCACTACCGCGATGGGCCCCCACTGAACGGCCACGTGCCGCTCGCCGCTTGCGATGGCGGTCGTGCCGGGGCCTCCCGGCACCGACCGCCATCGTATCGCGACCGAGTCCCCCGCAGCCCCATTGTCGACAGCCCAAAACGGTCTGCCGTCCCTGGGGGGGCGGTGGGGCTCGGCCACGATCGCCAACGTGAACCCCCATCCCACCATGCTTTGCTGGAGTAACTCCTGCGCGTGGTGGGAATGGTTCACGTTGGCCTGTACCAGGCCATACCCGCCTAGTGTCGGGCGGGGGGGATGTGGAGGCATTACTGGGCCTTATCCCCCCCGTCCGATGGGGCCTCTACGGGGGCCCCTCCCTCGCGCGCCTCCTGGCGCGGCTGGCGCTGCGGTTTGGGCGTCTCGCCCGTTCCGCCGCTCGACCCTCCCTTTTCCCCCACCACTGGCTGAACTTCAGCCGGGGGGGGCCCGGTGGTCGACGCCTTCCCTTGGGCGCCCGGTGGGCGTCCGCGCACGTTGCGCTGGGTGCAGGTGTTGGCACCCAGCACGTGTGTCGCCGGTCTGCCCTTGTCCGTACAAAGCGGACACTTCGGGGCAGACCGGCAGCCGCGGGAGGTGTGATCGGCTTCTCCACACCGATAACACCTCCCGCTGCGGTCCACCTCACCGGGGCACGTCGCCCTCGTGTGGCCCCTCTCGAGGCATCTGTGGCAGCGCATAGGCCGCGCCTCGAGAAGGGCCACCCTGGCCATAACCCAGCCAGCCCTTATTCGCCCCTTCTGGGCGATTTCTTTCGCGGAGGTGAGGGGGAGGCGGGCCCAGAGCTGTACGTGCCCCCGGCGGCCGGCTGCAGCGCCCCGCACTGAACGTCGGAGACGCTGCACCGTGCCGCATCGGCCACCCACCCCCTCACCTCCTCGACTCCCGCGGAGTCGTCTAAACCTGTCAGGCGGATCTCCGCCATCTTGCGCGGTCTGCTGACCCGCGTTACCTCCTCGTCGGGGAGGACCCGCCTGATCCGCTCAGCGAGCAGATCGGCCTTCTCGGCGTGGCCCTCCCCGGACACCTCGATCACTCTGGCACCGGTGGCCCCGGATCTGATGGCGACCCGGTCCCCGATGCCAAATTCCCCGAGGCTGATGCTGCCCCTTAGGGCAGTTAGGACCCCGCGGTAGTCGCCGTCAGCCCTTGTTAGTACAACTGCCGACGTTCGCGGGACCCTCCGCCTGGGGGCCATCTTCGGAGCTCCCCCGGTCTTCCCCTTCGCCGGGGGAACGGGGGAGAAGTCAGGTTACCTCATCCCCTACCGGCGAATTCTCTCGACCCTGTCCTCCTCAAAGCGGAGGGCAGTGCCGAGACCGGAGTCGCCGGGCTCCTCCCCCAAGAGGGGGTTGACGCGCTCTTAGTAAGCGGACACCCGAACTAAGAAGCCGCCTGTGCCTAAAAACTGCATCAACGGCTTCCATCCAAGCGCCCGCCTAAGCCTCCCCACCACGTCAAGGTGGCACGTCATCGGGGGGGGGGGGGAGATTTGCCGTCCTATGCTAACTTGTTTTTTCCTGTAATCGCATTTTACCTTATGTCTCTTCACGAAATCTACTCCTAGGATTCCGTCATACTCCATGGGAAAGTCGTCTTTGACTACATATAGTGTGTGCTTTATTTGTAGTGCGTCTAACTTTATCTTGGCGTAAATCTTGCCTATTGTTTTCACCTTATGGCCTGTTATCCCCGTAAGCGTTATCTCGTCTTCTTCTATTAGTGTTTCCCCTTTCAACAACGCTACTTTTATTAGGGACAAAGCGGCTCCTGTGTCGAATGACATGTTAGCTTTTCCGCGTTTCGTTTCTCGAATGGGCAGGTTGATTGAAAAGCTCCAATTCAACCGAATATATTTTGTTACTCTATCTTTTTCGCAAAAGTATATTCTCTACAAAAATATCTTCTCTACAAAACTATCTTCTCTACAAAAGTAATGATACCAACAAATTGCGCCAAATATAACAACGGATATTTATACAAACTAGTTGCTTTAGTATTAGTTTTTTATTTAAAAATGTTATATTTCTTAAAAAATCGAACTAAAGATTTTATTGGAAAACATAATGGAGTTAATAATAAAACACCTATGAAAAGAATAGCAACTATTTAGAAATTTAGAAACTCTATCTATTCAGGCGAATTTAGGCCTATGTCCATGACGCTAGTACTTGGTCCAAGTTCTAATTCCGCGAAATATATAACCAATCAATATAGCTGTTCCACAAAAGCTGCAAGTTGATTGGCTACGCATTTCTCAAAACTAGAACTTGGACCAAGTACTAGCATCATGGATACAGGCCTTAATTCGCCTGAATAGATACAGAGTTTCTGAACTTCTAAACAGTTGCTATTCTTTTCGTCGGTGTTTTATTATTAACTCCATTATTTTTTCCAATAAAATCTTTAGTGTGATTTTTAAGAAATATAACATTTTTTAATCAAAAACTAATACTAAAGCAACTAGTTTGTATAAATATCCGTTGTTATATTTGGCGCAATTTGTTGGTATCATTACTTTTGTAGAGAAGATAGTTTTCTAGAGAAGATATTTTTGTAGAGAACATACTTTTGCAAAAAAGATAGAGTAACAAAATATATTCGGTTGAATTGGAGCTTATACTTGGTGCTTTTTTACCTTTTTTTAAAAAAGGTAAGTTTTTTACGTGTATCTACAACTTCGTAGGAACTGTAGTAAGCCATATTTTGGAAGATGTTTCAAAGGAGAAAGAAGTTAGAATTCAGGTAAAATGTATTTTTTTACAATGGCCCTTAAGAGGATCCCGCAGAGGTCTGTTTTACCGTCAGAATTACCATTTTCGTAGTTATAGCCTTTCGTCGTATTAAATTCATGGCATCAAAAATGCTTGCGTACAATGACAGTATATGCATTGATAATCCCAGGAACTCCAATTTTATACCAAAAATGAGTAAAAATTACAAAATTCATATAGTCGATCACATATAACCTTGTAGACGCGAACTGTTACTCCGCCATACTTGTGCTTCGTAGAAAAGTTTTACAACTTGTACTCACATGAAACTGAGTTTCCTAGGATTCGATGACATGTAGAATTACTGTGAAACACTCTAAATTGGGATTAGAGGTTTAAAATAAGAGTATAGTTAGTATGAAATTTTCGCGTTTATGTATGGGTGTGATGTATCGTAGTAGTGTGTCCGTGTGCTCATGTATGTATGCTGCGTTTCGTGTTTAGATGGCGCACACCATCGAAGACTGAGGGATCCTCTTAAAGGGGTTAACGGTTGTTCTCAAAATTCTTCTTGAATCCACGGATGTATGTACATTGTATGCATGTACATATTTCACGTGTGGAACAGAGACTTTCAAGACCTACTCGGTACTCATGACGATCAGTCAGTCCGTTAATTCACAATTCTTTCACAATTCCAACTTTTCTTCTTTCTCCTTCGAAATATTTTCCAAAATATGGCTTATTACAGTTCCAACGAAGTTGTAGATATTTTACTTTCACTTGGCGAGTCTCGTCAAAATTATCGTCAAGCAGCTGCATTGTATTGTCAGAAATTTCCCAACAGACGTCATCCTACTGGTCAACAAATAAGACGCATCGAATTGCGAGAACGACTAGTGGTTCGACAAAGAGTCAGAAGTTGTCGCACTGCTGATAACGATAATGACGACCCCCGAGTTCAACGTGTGCTCATTGCAGTTGGATTAGACCCTCATATTTCTACTCGCCAAATTGAAAGATTGACAGGATTGCCACATCCTACTGTGTGGAGAATTTTAAAGAGGCATAGGTTTCATCCGTATCATATTACCCTTACTCAACAGTTAAGTGAAAATGTTATGGTGTTGAGAATTCAATTTTGTGAATGGGCTTTGGAAAGGATACGGTTAAACCCAATTTTTTTCCTTTGTAATGTTTACCGATGAAGCTATGTTCCATCATAACGGCCAATTAAATAGGCACAATTCACATTATTGGTCGCCTATAAATCCTCATTGGACTCACATGGTTGACAATCAACGCAGGTGGACTCTTCATGTATGGTGTGGAATAATTAATGGATATTTGATAGGACCTTACTTTTTTGAAGACAATTTAAACAGTGCAAGATACCTTTCATTTTTGCAAAACGAATTACCAGGTCTTTTAGAAGAGGTTGATATCAATACTCGTCGAAGAATGTGGTGGCAACAAGATGGAGCACCGCCTCACTCGGCTGGAATAGTCACCACTTACGTTAATCAAGTGTACCATGAAAAATGGATAGGCAGATTCGGCCCTACAAAGTGGCCTCCACGTTCTCCAGATTTAACTTCACCAGATTTTTACTTGTGGGGTTATTTGAAAAATGTAGTATACAAAGAAGCTCCGACAACTCGAGAGGATATGAAAAACAGAATAAAAAGAGCCTGCAATAATATTCCTCGGCGAGTTTTGTTATCTACCATTATAAATGGTACTCTGGTTGACCATCAAACAGAGTCAGATAACGGATAGAAACAACACACATACACACGCGCGCATACGCACAGAGAGAGAGAGAGAGAGAGGGAGGGGGGGAGAAGGAGAGAGAGGTAGAGAAAGAGCGAGAGAGAGGGGGGGAGAGAGAGAGAAAGACAGTTTGAAGTCACAAAATACGCACACTGTATGGGGGTCGAAGCCTTTTACTTAAATTATAAACTTTGGAACACTGTAACTCAGTGAAAAATGATCCAATTTCAAAAAATAAAAAACCGTTGTATTGGTCTCCATGTCACCTACGACATTCACTAGAACATAAAAATCGGTTTGCCGTTTGCAAAAATGGCCGCCATGTAGAAATCTCGAAAGTGGCGCCACCTACAATTAAACTGACATGGCCAACTTCTGCCTCCCTTGGAACCATAAAACTTTTGTTTAAAACATTTTTCCTATCTCTTTTATTTTAAGAGATATTTAGCTGTAACACTTAAAATGATACACCCTGGATATATACATGTTCGATTTGGACCACTCCAAAGATTATAGTAGATTGGGTCAAACTGAGAAGAAAAGTTATATACAATTTTATAAAATCCGTAATTATTATCGCGTAATTAAGAAAAACGTCTGAGCTAATAAGTGAACGGAGGAGCGGAAGGCCGGACTCGGCAGACATGCAAAATGGTGTATTTGTTTACATCTCTCAAGATCCGATAGCGAAAGGTGGTGTCACGCATCGATCGATGAGAGACGTCGGCGAGCGGGGAGCGGTGAGCGGGCGAACAGCGCGCAGCGAGCGAACGCGCGACATATGGCATCGCGCCGAAAAAGTTTTTCTGGTGGTAGGAGAATAATACACCATTTCGCATGTCTGCCGAGTCCGGCCTTCAGTCCTCCGTGCACTTATTGGCTCAGACGTTTTTCTTAATTACGCGATAATAATTACGAATAAATTACGAATTTTGTGAAATGGTATATAACTTTTCTTCTCAGTTTGACCCAGTCTACTATAATATTTGGAGAGCTACTTGGCGATTGTGCGTCGTCGGTGCTGGAGTCTCATCCGAGCGCGGTGTTTCTCCAACATCGTGATTGGCCTCCCCTCCGAGTCGCAGCTCGCGAGAAACATCAACCTCTGTTCCTCGGCCGCGTACTCCATCGGGGGGAGGCCGGAAATCACCGCCGCAGCGTTGTACGCCACAGTCCGGTAGGCCCTACATATCCTCGCGGCGATCGGGCGAATTGCCCGCGCCATA